TTTTCCAAGTTATTTTAATCGATTGAAATATGTTATAATCGATTGAAATAGATTTCAATCACTTTGTCGCTCGAGCGAAAGTCCGCGTCGCTCGAGCGAAACAGAACCCGAGAGTCCCCCTTGTTTCCAGGTGTCCTCGCTCAAGCGGTGTGATTTTCGCTTGAGTCACTTTAGATAGCGGTTATTTGGCCAACCGCTATCTAAACTACTATATTAGATAGCGGTTGGGAAAATAACCGCTATCTAATGTAGTAGTTTAGATAGCGGTTGGCCAAGTAACCGCTATCTAAAGTCATATATGTCAAAGTGATCGACTATAATGGGATAATAGTCGATCATATTTTCGCTCAAGCGAGAAAACCTTCGCTTGAGCGAGAATTTACCCCAGACTACCCCTTTGTTACAGGTTTCCTCGCTCAAGCGAAGGTTTTCTTCGCTTGAGCGAGAGTTCAGTACGCGAAATAATATTATTTTAATACAGTGAACAGTGAACAGTTGCGCGAAATAATATTATTTTATTACGTGAACAGTAAACCGTGCTAGTTGTGTAAATAAAATTGCAGAGGTGCTATTTGGGTAAATATTTTTGAAAACAGTATTATTTATGAAAAAAAGTCACATTACTGCTAGGAATTATATATTGATTAAGTGATTTGTTACTCACCAAAGCGATATCATTAAAAGTGAATTTTATTAACTAATACTTTAATAACGACATTTTAAAGCAGTAAACGATAAAATATAAACACTTGCGGAATAATAGTAATAAGTTGCGGTGAAAAAGGAAGATAATCATAAAAATTTTTACATTTAACATTGTAATAAATTAATTATAACAAATTTTATAATATAAATGAAATAGTAAAAATAAGCACAATAATTAATTGGAGATGACAACTTAATCTTCATTTTTTTTATTTTATGATAATTATGGTCAAAAAATACTTTGAGCATTTATTAAAAATAAAAATATTTATCTTGTCTAAGCTGAGAATTATGGTCCAAGCCCATAACAATTTTTTGTCCTATGTGTTTTTTTTTATATATATATAGCCAGTAATTATCCGATTGTGGGATGCGGGGGAGCCCTATGTTTCGAGGATATGGATGGGCCCAAATAGATTATATGTTTTTCACGAAGCAAAGAAAGGGTTTGAGTTGAATTATTTATTGATTTATGTAGTTGAAGAGTGACGTGATGGTAAAGACAAATGCAGAGTGAAGTGGCATATTCATGCATCGCGTATTGTTAGCGTCCACTGTCTATTAATTTCAAAATCATCAAAGCAGAATTACATTCATAAAAATAGGATGCACACAATGCATTACTTTCAAATGTCTTAAATTTAAATGCGTGGTTGTACATGTTGTAGCCATGGATGCATTGATTTCAAGAATGTGAGGCTCACAATCTGAGAACATGTGGAAGAGTGTAGAACATCAACATTTTATGTGTGGCTCATCTTACATTCACTGTCCTATTCCACCAAACACATTCATAAATATGTCAACATATGGATGCTGGATACTCAATATATAGGGACTCATATTCATCTATTTTCTTAAAACTACTGTCATTAAATTTAATTAATACATCTATCCATATATTAATTCATCAACATGCAAGTTAGTTGATAAAACACCCCTCAATTTCTTTTCAAATTTACTAAAATGGGTGATTCGAAATATCATTTTAACAAGAACAAGTTATTAAACACATTAATTTTTTATTTATTTCTAATAGTAGAGTAATATTTTCAATACTACCAGTTTATTTAATAAAAATAATAAAAATTTGAAAAAAAATTGGAAAAAACATATAAACATACCTTTTGATGTCATTTAACTAATTCAACAAAATAACTTACTAATTAAAATTTTGGTTTATTATGTTAGTTTTTTAAAAATAATTTTTCATTTTTAAACTACTTCATCAGCTGTTGGATAAAACCTAGACATTTAAAAGAATAAATTTATTGTAGTGTTTTATATTTTTTTATTCACTAAATAATTTTATAATCTATTATTGTTCTTTTATCAAAATATCCAACCACAAAATATTTTTAATTATGTTGTATTGCTCCGTAGCAATCTGATTGCGACTTCTACCTGTGTCCTAAATATTTGGTATGGTTTTCATTTATGTCCTCTTATATATATATCACTGTTTATTTTAGTGATAGACTATTTATTATTTGTAAGAAATATTCTATTAATAAAATTGGAGTTTGAAATCAACCAAGAAACCCTAACATTACAATATGAGAGTAGTTGTTGTTCAGAAAATAGAAATGTTATTTTACGTACGTGTATAAGTAAACTTACTTAAAAAAAATGTTTTTAACCAAGCGATTTAAAATTTTTAAAATAATTTTAAAAAAAATTATGGGATAAAAAATAAAACCTATTTATCTTATTAAGAGCTAAAATAATGATTTTAAAAGTAAATAAATCAATATTGAAAATTAAACCGGATTCATTTTATATAGAGAATGAAATTATATTTAAACTTCTATTTATTATTACACATGTTTTGGATTGGATAATGCGATCAATTAGTCCACAGTAGATAATACTCTATTATCTTTTATTTTATTTCTCACTTAAAATTGTATCATATAATTTAAGAAATTTCATTAATATAATAAACATTAATTAATTTTTATTATATATTTTTTATATTAATTAATTAATTTCTTTTTATTGAACCAAGATTCGTGGTAAAGGTAAGAATTAGACAATAATTCTTTACTAAAATTATAAAATGACAATCAAAATAGAATAAAAAACCAAAAAATTGACTTAAAAAAAATAAAGAGTAGAAACTTACGTACCTGGATTTCGCAGTGCCGTGCCTTGCTGCAACACGTGAACTTTGTGTTGAATTAATCGGTATTAATTTACATTTTTTTATACAAATAATTATAATAAAATTAAATTAAATAAAATTGTCGGAACACAGTATCTTCACACATCTATCAAAATTTGTTAATGTTATTGGTATTTGTACGATGTTGTGGACTGCGACAGTCCACGTAGAGATTGTCACACTGTCTCTTTCAATAAACATTTTCATAAATAAAAAATAAAAACAAATTTCTTTCTATAGGTAGAAATTTGAGTTTGAAAATATTAATATACTTTTTAAAAATATTTTATATTTAATTTATGTAAACTTTATTTCATTTTTTAAATATGCTTATAATAATTGATCTAAATATTGCTATATCATTATTTTTTATGTTGAGTTATTGAATACGTCTAGACAAACTTTTCACAAATACATAAAATAAATACAATAAAACAATTCTTAAATTAAAATTGACATTAATTTTATGAAAAGCTTTCATTTTTCACAAATACTAATTTTCTCATTTGTAAAATAGTATAGTAGACTTATTGGAATATTTTGTGAGTATATTGTAGTTTATGGGAGTTTATTTTGAGTGATGTATATTTAAGTATCCTAGTATGTTTTGTATGACAACTGTTGTTAGATAATTAACATAAATTTGTTGATGTAGTATTATAACTTAGATATATTCTATGACTTATTTGTCATTAAAATTTCTATTTACGTTATATATATATATATATATATATATATATATATATATATATATATATTAGATAAAACAATTAATTTGATTATCTAAAATATATAAAAGTTTAAAGTTATTCGTAAAATTTAAATAAAGTTAAATAAAGCCCTTGAGATTCAATATATAATTTTTTTATTTTAAGTAAAAGTTAAATTTTATAATATATGAAAATCTAACATAAAAGTTATTTTATTATTTATTTGTCTATATTCTTAAAAGAGAAGAAAGGTATATGTTGTTTTTTCTGTTACATGTATTCTGGTATCAAATTTATATAAAGATGAAATTGAAAAATTCAAACTCAAAGTTTAAGATGAAAGATTTGGTTCTTCGAGATAAATTATTGGGACGGAGATATAAAAGGTGTTACATTTATCTCAATAAGATTATAGGCAAAAGTGTATGATGTAGGTACACCTTTAAACATCACACATAATTGTTTATTGTCTAAACTCCTAGTTTTAAAGGAAAAAAAAAAGAAAAAGAAAAAGTAAAGACTATTCTCCATAAAGAGACTTTGAAATGTGTGCTAAGATTTTTGAATGTAATAATATCATTGTATAAACAATCTATCAGAATCTTATTATTACTTCAAGAATATGAATATGAGAAAATCATTTTTTGGATATTTGTTTCACATTGTTTGAAATTGTAATTTCTTAGAAGATAAATTCATAATTAATGGTAGCATTGTCAATTACTCAAACAGAATATATTGGGCTCATAAAAGGAGTAAAGGGGATTATAAAGTTAAATGTGATGAGAAAGAGGGATGAGAAAAATTATAAGATTGCATGAGATTGTTAGAATACTAATTAATAAGTTATATGTTGACATTAGATTATACTTTATGAAATATATCGTTGAATGTGGAGAAATAAAAAAATGATATAAATAATATTTAAAGATAAATTTATAAATATGTTTATGAAGTCCTTTATCAATATTTAAATCCAACTGTTATTTAAAATTAATAATCTTTATTATTTATTGACCGTATTTTATTATTATTAATATTATTATTATTATTATTATGTGAAATATAATTTATTTATTTTTTATTCTTGTTAATTGTATTATTTATTGTTGCACGCAAGCGCTTACAATGAGAAACTTGAGGGGATGATATACTTTATCTCCATATGATGACACTTGGTAAATAAGAGACAAACATGCATAATTACTACTTATTTGGACCAGTAGCATTGTCTCCAACAACAGTATAGGTTGGAGGACTTACTTTTTGACAGATAAATTAATACATGGCTGGAACTATATTATCTCGACAAATTTTGGTGACATGTAATTATAGTTTTTAACTTACTAAAAAGAAGTTAATATCACGTCACATAGCAATTATGAAATGACCCAGTTTGATACCAGATAGTAGTCTCTTTTTTATGGTCCCTTTTTCTTTTTGTCCTCAAAGTCGAGAAGCTCCTCCAACAACTTGTCATCCAAGTACTCAAACTCAAACACTTGCCTTCCTTGATCACTTCTTCCTCTGCCTTCCACATTCGCATGCCTAGAAGAGGAGGTTGAAGAAGATGAAGCAACAGAGGAATGAGTAGCAGCATTAGTGGCACCACCAGCAGTCATAGGGTACTCTTCAGGGAAGTTCAGGATTGCAAATGGACCTCTCATGGCATAAGCAGCTCTATCATAGGCTCTGGCTGCTTCCTCCGCCGTGTTGAAGGTTCCTAGCCAGACCCTTTGGCCCTGCCTCGTCGAGTCTCGAATCTCCGCCGCGAACTTCCCCCACGGCCGCCGCCGAACCCCACGGTACCGGACATCTCCACCATCGTCCTTGGCTTTTCCCCTTGATCCTTCCTCATCCATGGTCGGCAAATTGGTAAGATATTGGTATGGTTTAGTTTTTGTTTTTTTGCATGCATGGTAAGGTAGAGGTGATTTGGGGTTTATATATGGTTGAAAAAAATGTGCAGATGGTGCAAAGGCACTATGTGCACATGCCACATGGGAATTGTGGGCACGTGACGATTAGAAGTTTCTGCTATTGAAACCAATGACCAATGTTGAAAAGTTGTGTCCATTGTATTTGGATGGTCAAGGTGATGGCTTTGCAAAGTTTTGAAATTCTTTTGTCATTCTAGTAGCACTCTCTCTTCTAAATGCCTTTTACCCATCGTTGTTTGGGAATTCATTTTACACTGAAACAAATACCACTTTGTGGCTCACAAAAATATTAAAAGCAAAATAGCGATAATTAAAATTAAAGGTAACCCCACCTTCATCAATTTTATGCAAGTTGGTTGAAAAGGTCAAACGTGGCAAGGTCTATATACTACTTAGTGTCATTTTGTGAAGTCAGATTGCTTATTTATCCTTACTTAGGTAATCAATATTCTAGTGATCTCAGAGCATGGATACATTATGCACCCATTTATTTCAGATTTTGTTTTTCTGTAGAACTAGGTTTTTTAGAATGAGATGATATTTTTTTCTTCTAGAAAGAACCTGGTTCTAGTAAATAGTCTAGATATAATTTTTTAAATGTTAAAAATCTCTCAATGCAAATAAATGTTCAAGTACATGAAGAAGACCACTATAAGGGTGGGGAATCTTGAGGGTCGGTTGTCTTCATGAAGTAATTGTAGGGATTGAATAAGATTCTCTATAATTGGTGCAAGAATCAGAATATGATTTACAAGTTATTGATTGAAATGAAAGAGGAGCAACAATACCCAATTGAACCATATATGAACGAAATTAGACGCATCGGTGTTACGACAATATTTTATTTTTTAATTGTTTGATTCAGAGTGCTTGGGTGTAAGATTTAGTAGCCGTTTTTACGAATTTAAATTATGACATGATAACGACCCTTAAACAAATTAAAAATCACCTGGGCCATAATCTGAAATAGGTCTAAATCCATATGATGGAATATAAAAGAATTCATCCGGAATTTACAATAGTTTTTTAACCTTAATCTTATTTGAAAGAAAGTCCAAAATTATGAAAGTTGAAAAGTAAAAGTGCCTAAAGTTAATGGATATCTTGATTAATATGATTCCGAACAAATATACGATTCGCATAAGCGTTCACTGAATAAGAACATGGCTTTTAGGGTCTTTTAAGCTAAACAAGTTCAATACATACATCAAGGTCGCTTTTTGCAAAAATAAGAATATATTTCTGTACTAATTTAAGATGTAAATATGAATAACAATAGCGTGGACTCGCAGAGACTAGAATCTCATTCTTACTACAAGGCTCACTATAGGGATAGGCCCAATAAAGTGATGTTGTAGGCCACTTTTGAAGGCACCATCTGCAAAATTGGGCTCGTACCATTCTTTTTGCTTTCAAACAATGGTAAATTATATGAGATACTTTTAATTTAAAATTTATTTTAAAGCTGAAGTTAAAGTTAATGAAGTTTCTTTTTTTTTTTTAATAATTTTTAAGTTCAAAATTTATTACTATGTTGAAATTTTCGAGTGGTGTGTATTTAAGATAACAAAAAAGAAAAGGAAAAATATAAGCAAAAACGTTTGTAAATCTTTTTTTTTTAAATAAAAAAAAACTTGTTTTTTTCAAAATCTTTTTATTTGTTCATAAAAAAGCTCAAAATTTCCACAAAAATTATAAAATAAACTGGGTCAAAATTGCCTACAGTTGTTTAACTTGTCAACCAAGATTATGTTAGCTGGAGTTGAAGTGGTTTGATTTTTTGAACACAATTTTGAAAAATAGAAAAAAGAAATTATTAAAGTTGACTAATCAAGATTACCAGAAAACTATGTGATATCAGGGCAATAATGACGAAAGTCAAAGATCCAGTACTTGAGGCTAGGCTAGCTATCTGAAACAAAACCTCCATAATGAACATCTTATGGTACTCCGAACACACTTCAGTTATGTGTGCATTGAGTCAGACTGAAGGCAATAACCTGAGACAGGATTAGAAGCAGTTATGGAGCCTGATTGATAATTGAGCCAAGATCTACATTTTGTACTCTTATATTAAGATTGATTAAGTACAAAGAAATTAATTTTAAGAACTTATCAAAAGAAACTATATATGTGTGAATAAACTAATTTATGTTGACTAATCAATTAAAGTCAATATAAAAAAAATATCTGCAGAGTGCGATAAATAAGAAAATAAATAAAACAAGGCATGCATACAAGGATGTTGTTTTTTCTTATGTTTATATTTGAGTGGCATTTTTAAATGTGGATTGAAAAGGTGCAGAGTACAGAGATCTTAACAGGGAAGATAACTATTTTCCTTGTATGGACGGTCAGAAGAACACGTGAAGACACGTGCACATCGCCAACCAAGTCAGTAATGTCTTTTACCTTTCATAACAAACAGTAAGAAAGCACTACTTTTCTTCATCTGCTTCAAAGCGAACTAATATCTTTTAAAATGAATATTATGATAATGAGAAATGAAGAGAAAAAACACATTACAATATATAAATAGAATGTATAATTAAAAACCGCTTTGAAAAAATGTGAAACTTAAGAAATTTACATTCTGCAATGGAGATTTTACCAGTAAACAACTACGATGGCTGCTGATATGACAGGTTCCATGCAATCACGTGATGCAAATTTCACCTTAAAAAAAGCTAACCTCGTTAAATAAAAAAACTATTATCTTTTTATAATAACTGATGTTTTGTCAAAGCCATTCAAAGAATGGGATTTAAAATAGTTGATAACGTAAAATCTTAATATATATTTATTAAACTTTCATGTTATGGGTAATGAACCATGTCAGTAGTATATTACACTTTTATTTGTTGATAGACAATTTAATAGCATTAATAAACAAATATTAATCTATTATATTTTCATTAAATGTAAATTCATTTTATTAGAAAAATAATTTTAATGTGCCTTCTAAATTCATAAATGGAGTATTCGTTTAAGATAAAATTTCTCATATAACAAACACTAAATTAGTAAAAACATTTTCTGAATATTAATTTAACATTGAGCTTTTCATAAGTATTTGTAAAATTGAACTTAATCCTTTAATGACTAAAAATAACATTTTCGATATATAATAGCAAGGGGGCATAAATCCCTTAATTGTGTCCTTGAACCCTATATATAGATAACTTATTGTATAACAAAATATAAAAAAAAATTAAATGAATACTACTTTAAATTTAAAATAATTCCGGGGTAGGAAACGAAATATATTTTATCTTTTATGGATAGCATCGCCCAATCGGAGCTTCCTACGTTTTCATTTTCAACATGAATCAACCGAAACACACTATGGTGACCCCTTTCTCAATCATGAACATGTGTCCAAATATAATAGCGGGTGCACAAGATTATTGTAAAATAATTAGTGGATAAGGAAATGTGTTGTTGTTCCTTTTGTTTTTTTATTTTATCTAATCCTTGACATATACATGTATTGAAATCACTTTAATGGTTAACTGTTTCAAGTTATGTTGAAGGAATTTACCAAAGAAAATAAAATGTTCTTTCAATATATATATATATAATTTTATTTCCATACATAAATTTAAAGACATTTTTATTACGGAAAAACTAATCATCTCTTATGAATCGGGCTAATAAAATTCATATTGGTGTTTTTGTACATAATTAGTGTTGATGTTTACTTACTTCAACACATCATGTTAGTATTTAACTGTCATAAAATAAGAGAATAAATTTACTGAGTATTGAGTATTCAATAAATAAGAGAAGAAATTTTGTTTGGCATTAGAAATGAAGACCACTCCCTCCCCCACCCAAAAGTCGCATTAAACACAACCCAGTAACGTGGTGAAGTGACAGAGAAGGGACAATTATTGTGAAAAATTTAAGGATTTAAAAAGAAAAAACTTAGTGTGTCTGAGCTCTTTTCCCAAGTAAACTGTCTAATAACAGCTGTTGCTTCCATGCCATATCCATGTGCCTCTTTCTCGTCATGCTAATGTAACTATTTGTATTACGATCCCTCAACATAGTGGTCCAATATTTCCCTGTAACCATAGAAACCATTAACTATAGCTGCAGGTATATGCTGAGCAAAAGGGACACATGTGCTGCCATCATATTAAATGCCCAAAAATATTTCATCACAACAATATAACTTGAGTCAACAAGCTTGGAGACCAAAGCTAGACTTTGAATTAGAATTTTATATGAGAAAACGAAATATGCAAAAAATAAAAAATGTTAAATCATATGATACATTCAACCTAGATATTGACAATAGTATCTGTAGTCACTGCCTACTGGCTCTTGTTTTCTGCGACTTCTCAACGAAGGAATTGTATATTATGCAATTTGGACGGGAACTTCCAAATATGAACGCAGCTGGTCAGGGAAGGAGTATCGTGTATTTTATGTATGATGTCAAATGACATTGGTTTTCCACTTGATTTTTGAAAAAAAATGAATATCTAAGGAGAATTCTAGAGTTGAATTGCATAAATAAGAAGGGTGAATTAATTCTGAATTCCTTATCATGTGTGTTAAGTCACTTTAAACGAAGACAGTGCAGGCTTATAAGAATGAAAAAGTAACGAGAAGATAGATAAGGGGAGATTTTGTGGCATGTTAAGAATTAATTTTTGTGGAAAAGTGGTGGGGGAAGTTTCTTGTGGTAGACGGCACATGGCGCATAGGCCTAAACCTTTGACTAATGTGTGAAACACTTTTTGAAAGTGGGAAAGCAAAAGGGAAACCGTGTCTGTTTTTTTCTCTCGTTAGTTGATCTCTTTCCACTGCTTGTCAACAAGCCAAATGTGAATATGTGTCGGTTCTGAAACCTTTTTTATATATACAACATAACACTGCACACATATTTGACTTTGCCATAAGCCTCTGCATCAGGAATTTAGGGCCCACCAGAATTTTTTCCCCTAACGTATAGACCACTGCTAGACTTCATCTGGCCAAAGCTTTTCAAATAAGATAGGCGGGGGCAAACCCCAACTACTCCTCTCAGTCAACATCTTCCATCAACGGTCAGCCCTTTGATCAAGGACTCAAATGGTGGGCTGCATGTGGCCTGTGTCACACCTTTTCTTCATCATTCAATAACCATGTCTCTACTTCAAAACCCAATTACCCTTTTCACCTCATTAACTTGACTTACACATTTTTAATCTTTCATTAACCTTGTTCCTCTTTGTGCTGTTTGGTTAGTAAAAACACATAATAAAACCAGTAACTTTTTCCCTCACTTCCTCCCTTTCTTCTACCAACAAAACCAGTCATTTGCTTTCTTTTGTACCTTGCTCAATTAAACTCCAATCGATGAGCGTGTGTTAATGATGCATTTCGTCTTTTTGGATTAATAACGTGTTAATGATTGATTGAATGTGAACAACAATTATCAGTAACGTTCTGATCAAAATTTTCTATTCCAGGTTTTCTTTTCTCTTGTAGGGACAAACACTTTTTTTTTTTAAATAAATAAATAAATAAAAGATACACGAAATTCTGAAAGATGATTTTTAGTCCAACACATTAATTACCATGAAACTCTGTACCATAAAGTATGTGGATATTTAAGTATGTAGTCTACCCATTCGGACTATTATAAATATATCATGATATATAAGTATTTTCATAAAAAGTATGCTGCCATTTTATTCATATCAATTCAATTTTTTTCCAATAAGATTATTTGTGTGTAGTATTTTTACGTTATTAGAACAATCTATTTGCATCAAGGTAGAATACAAGATTTTGAAAGTCTGTTTAATTTGTATTTTTGAAGTTTAAGCATATTAGAAAAAAAAAAGTTATAAAAAGAGCGAGAAATATTAAAAAAAATAAAACAAACTCTTTTATTCCCTGAAGAATGGTGGTCTCTTTTAAGGACACAACAGGATTTTTTCGTACGCTCCTTGATTAATTATGATGAAAATAGTATAAATATGCTAATCATTTATCAAATATTCAATAATTTATCACCGGACGCTGATCGCAATAAACACACGGTGGATTGGTCCCTATCACTGTTAATGGACCGTCATACACTGTATAAAATCTATAATTTTTAAATTGGATCATACGCTGCTGTAACGTAAAATATGTTTGGAACAGGGTCCAAGACACTTGAACAATTTTCTAGCCTAACTCTCTGAGAACCTCTGAGAAATTCACCAACTACGTAGTCTAGCTAAGACTCCACCCTCCAACCTTAATAAAGAAAACAGGTTTTTGTCAACATTTTCATTGAATTTCAAGACCTTAATGTATTGTCCCCCTCACTCTCACCACCCTCATTTAAACACCATCTAGGTTTGGTCTCTTCTCCCTTCTACATACTCCTCCATTTTTCATTGGTTTAATAGTCTTGAATCTGCTTTCCATTCTCTCCTCAGCCATCTTTTTTCGAAACTTGTTTTTTCCTCTCTATTTGATAACAAGTTAACAACTACGTACTTGACCATTAACTCTTTCACTCCCATCTTCTATTTGATAACAACTATAGCCTACCTCAAGTAGTACAGAATACACAAGCTGTAGATTTTCCAAGAAAGTGATATTTATTTTCTTCCTAAACTCTCACATTGGGGAGTTATTCTATTCATGTCTTTTGCTTATATTCAAGATCTGAAAGAACCAATTTGTCTGCATTTTTGTCTGTAACATCTGGTATGGATCTTGCAAGCAGAAGGTACTTGATTTATGCGTCACAACATGAGTCACAATCACAGGCACTTTCTCCAATCACAAGTCCTGATGGTTCATTCTTTCACCCTCATCAGCATTCTTCTAGCACCAGTTTTCCCATCATTGCAATTGCCATAATAGGAATAATGGCCACGGCTTTCTTGCTTGTGAGCTACTACATCTTTGTGATCAAATGCTGCCTCAATTGGCACCGAATTGATATTCTAAGACGTTTCTCTCCATCTAGAAGGCGTGAAGATCCATCACCAATGTACTCACCAGGCACTGAAGCTCGTGGACTAGATGAGGCAATGATCCGGTTAATCCCAGTGATTCAATACAAGACACAGGGGGATAGAGGCTTTGGAGAATGTGCCGTTTGCTTGAATGAGTTTCAAGAAGATGAGAAGCTCAGGATTATACCAAATTGCAGCCATGTGTTTCACATTGATTGCATAGATGTTTGGCTTCAGAGCAATGCCAATTGCCCTCTTTGTAGAACAAGCATTTCCTTGACAAGCAGATTCCACATTGATCAGCTTCTCACCCAAAGATCTTCTTCCCCTCAGGATCAAACCCCACCAAGGGAAAACCTCATTGGAGGTGATGAAGATTTTGTTGTGATTGAATTGGGCAATAATCATGATAGAAGCCAAAATTTGCAAGAGAGAGGCAATGGTTTGGAATTACCATTACCAGCATGTCTTGTTACTCCTTCTACACCAGGGAAATTGGACGGTGGAGATGTGCAGAAGAAGGCAATGAAACTTCATAAAGTGACAAGCATGGGGGATGAGTGTATTGATATTAGAGCAAAAGATGATCAGTTCTCAGTGCAACCAATTAGGAGGTCTTTCTCCATGGACTCATCAGGGGATAGACACTTCTATTTAGCAGTTCAGGAAGCTCTGAGGCTCCAGAACAGGCAAGTCAATGAAGTCAGCTCCATTGAATGTTGCAGTGGTAGTGGTAGTAATAGAGTCAAGAGGTCATTCTTTTCCTTTGGACATGGAAGTAGATCCAGGAGTTCTGTGCAACCTGTTTCTTTGGACCCCTGAAATTTCTCTTTTGTCCTCCTCTCTTTCTATTATGTTCGTATCTTGCAAGTTAAGGTCTTTTACTTTTTTATTTTTTTGGTGAGATAGAGATGTTACTATGGTAGATGTATGAACAGGTCATAGGATTGCATGACACACAATATTCAATTGAATTTAATTTTATCTTGAAACCATTATTTCTGTATTATGTATGTTTCTGAGTGTATAATATGGCATGGTGTTGTGGTTTGGTCTAGTTCCTTCAAACGACAAGGAGCTGTGATAATGAGCATCATTGCAGAAATCATCACATAATAGCTTTCTAAAGAAAACAACTTTTCCCGCTTTGGATCAAATAAGTTTTGCCATGTCTTGTTCTAGGAACATAAAAAAGAGAAATAAGCAAATATGGGTTTAAAAGTAATGGTAGGAAATGAAGCAAATCAAATTGAAATTAAAGTGGAGCTATTACCAAAATGGAGAATCCAAGGGTGAATAAAGTAGATAGGTGATGGTGTCCCAAAGTTTATTTTAATAGAAGGGGGAAGGTGGGGGTTCTTTTTTCATTGATGAATAATATACTACACCCACCAAAATTATATTTTTGCACACAGCGTGTGTTGTAATGCTGGTGGATGGAAAGAAAGTTTAGTCATATTTGGTTGGTTTGGTGATAGTTTTTTGTTCCACAATTTCATCTGTTTCCAGCTTGTAAGAATCAATCATTAATTTGCGGTTGAAATAATATATTAACTAATGAAGAAACAGCCAAAATTATTGGTAGTAGTAGTTCATCAATCATCATTCTTTTTCTGGTGTGAAAATAAAATTTCATTAATCATCATTGCAGTTATGATTTTGCCCTACCAAATATTTGTCTGGACATAGTAATTTCTTAAGCTTGCTCACAGGGTTAACTTTAAACACTCATATGAACTTTTAGCTCTTAATTTATATGACTTTCTATCACTCTACAATAAAGCACTTTGGAACTTTTGTCCAAAGCATCCCCTGCTATTTGTTCTTCTGATAACAGAGTCCCCCCAAAGTCGTGCACTCTTTGAAGGCCATGTGCACGTAAGCATGGGCAGGGGCTACACAAGATCTGCTGCACACTTGAGGAACCCGTGAGATGCTACATCTTTGTCAAAAAGGGAAGGGGGAAAAACACAACCAAAAGTTAAAAGAAGCTAATCCCCAAACAGAGGAAAAATAATCTTCAGTGTCATGGGGCCTCATTGTCTTGTGTTTTTGAAAGCAACTCAACAAATTTTCTTCTGTATGTAAATTTATTTCAAAACATGTACATGGAATATGACCAGACGGTGAGTGCAAGATTTGATATCATTTTCTCAATTCCTTCTTGCCTTTTCCTTTTTCTTCTGTCAGAAATTTCACTTGCTTTTTGAGTATAAAAGAATATTCTACCATAAAGAAGAATGCATACCAATAATAATTCCTAGAATCGCCTCTTTATATACACGCTTCCTAAAACTTCCTTTAATTAATTTGTGAGGTGTGAACATGTTCCTAAAACATCCTTTTTCGGTATTACTACTACAGGTGTGGAAACAGTCTCATCAAATTCTGCAAGAATTTTGACCTGTTTAACAGAGAAGCCAAATGAAGAACATGGAATAAAAAAAATATGATTTTTTTTTTAAAGTATCAAAGAAAAATATAAATTAAAATAATGAAAATAAACGAGAAATAGAGTAAAAAAGTATGGATGGAACTTTATTATTTTTTAATTCTATTTTTCTTTTCTAGTTCAACACGTGAAATTAAATTCTTTTTCTCTCTTCCCTCCAATAATACAGCTGCATATTTATGCATGTTGATTAAACTGAAAAAATTTGCTAACAATTAATCACTGTATTTGGTTGTGCGAGTAAAAATAAATTAATGAAATATGAGCAAAATTAGTAATAATAATTTTGTATATACTTTAACATAGCATAAACAAATTTAAAACTCTTCCATTACAATTGTTCCGAGATATATTTATTTTCCACATTCTATTTTTTAAAAATTTTAAATGTGCTACTTTATTTATTTTTACAATCAAAATAACATTTCTTACATTTATATCTTGATTTTTTTAGCAAAAGGTAACTAACCCCCCAACTCATAAATAAACCTCTATCATATCACTACTAAAAATTCTCATTTTTTATGGGAATATTTTTACAAATTTTTTGTAAAAATTGCAAGAAATAAGTTTTCTGTAAATTTAAACAATTTTTTACAAGAAAATTGGCAAAAAAAAACTATTTTTGTAGTAGTGTATATAACACTCTGGAGGAATATTCCAATAACAACATAGAAAGGATCTTAGTATTTGGTGGACAAAAGGGGCAACAGGGAAATATCTATTAAATACCTTGACTTTTACATTTTTAACCTTCTTTTATTTTACTTTCTATAGTAAAATTTTCAAAAACCTTTATAAACAAAGAAATTTCCTTGATTTTAATCGTTGATGAAAAGTATTAGTAATTTTTTTTACAATGGTTTTTTTTTTCTCTTTTTTGAGATAGTTAGGTGTAGGTAGCTGGATTTTGGATCAAACTTGTTGTTTGGATTCTGAATTTATTGGAATGATTATCTTCACAGGACATGTATTTCGCAATTTAGTTGTTTTCTTTGTTGGTCTACCTGCTATTAAATTACATAATTTCAAATTTATGTCAGTGTTGGGCTTCATAGGCCTTTTCTTTTCCTTGTGTTGTGTCTCTGCTCGAAGGACAAAAATTATGTGACTTGTTTCTGTCAAACGCACCATCCCGTTTTTGTACCAATGCACAATGGGCCTCACAACCCCAAGCCTTTTTATTCTTCTTTGGTAATTGCTTCATGCAACCACATTTTCTTACTTACACCCCATATCTCGAAGTGAAAGACAAAAATACCTTTTTATAAGGCACCTCATGTTACTGCCACTGTTTGTAATTTGGGTGCTCTGCTCTTGAGGCTTTGGCATATAAGATTTGGTAAAATATATTAATATTATTATCTTATTTTCTCTAAAACAATGGAAGGAAAAGTAGGCATATATTTATTACATTGTAGTGAATGGATAATATAATTTAAAATAAAAGTGATTGATGAAAGCATGGGAGTATATGTACAAGGCAAGGTGTAGGATAAGATCAATCCTTTACACGTCAATCCTTTCTTGCATTTTCTTTTCCACTTTATAAGCCAAACAAAATACAATTTTCCAAATATCCACTCAATCTTATTTTAATTTTAAATTTCAATATAGCATTCATATTCTCTACGATTTACATTTTTTACATGATTCAATCAATTCTATTGATATAAAAAAGAATATTTATCATTAATATTAAAATCATATAACAAAAACGGAATTAAGTCTATTGAAAAACAATTTCTCGCAATATATCTAAGATTATTCAATATTATCTCTGAAAGAAAAATACATGTAGAAATAATATATATATATATATATATATATATATATATATATATATATATATATATATATATATATATATTGAATCATTTTTAGTTGTAAAGTGTATTTAATTTTAAAATTGGAAAAATAAAACTTTTGAATTAATAACGCCTATATGTTTTTCTTTAATGAAAGTAACGCGAATCTAATATGCAGCAAACTTAAGTTGAATATTTGTTTAAAAGTAATTTACATTATAATACTGTACTCATTTTTATCGTAATAATACTAATTATCCTTAATATTTAGAGAAAATAATACACAATATATTTTTTATATTATAATTGAATTAAAAAAAACTATACTAATAATAACAAGTGTAAATTTTTTACTGTCACAAAACCCCACTTTAAATTTGAAAAATAACGTCTAAAACAGATTTTAAACCATTTTCGTGATCATTTTGGATTAAACTTGTTCCTTTTTTAGTTTGCAAATTGCAACTGGTTGAACACAACACAACACATGCACATTCCTTCTGCAACCTATTATTTCCATCTCCACACCTAAACTAAACACACCCCACCTTCCACCCATCACGATGAAGATAATGGTAGCCGTCAAGCGAGTTGTCGATTACGCCGTCAAAATCAGGGTTAAGCCCGACAAGGTAAGCTACTCACTCACACACTCACCTTTTTTTTTTTTTTTTTCTCTCTCCGCTCCCAATTCGGCCCAACACGATGCTGTTTTGCAGACGGGGGTTGTGACCCAGAACGTGAAAATGTCGATGAACCCCTTCTGCGAAATCGCCCTGGAAGAGGCCCTTCGCATCAGAGAGTCTGGCTTGGCCTCCGAGGTTGTCGCTGTCAGCATCGGACCCTCTCAATGCGTAGAAACTCTCCGAACGGGTCTTGCCATGGGAGCCAACAGAGGCATCCATGTTGAGTCCACTGCTTCCCTATACCCTCTCTCTGTTGCCAAAATCTTCAGAAAGCTCGTCGAGATTGAGAAACCCGATCTTCTCATCCTTGGCAAACAGGTATTGCTACTGCTTGTACTATTATCTTTTCCTTGTATTTGTGGAAATTCAGGTTTTTTGTTTGTGCGGCATGTTTTGGGGATTAATTATTAGAGTAGAAATTGGTGCTTCAACTCGTGTTGTTGTCTATGAAGTATTTTTATTTTTATTTTTACAGGCTATTGATGATGATTGCAATCAAACAGGGCAGATGATAGCAGGACTCCTAAACTGGCCTCAAGGGACTTTTGCTTCAAAGGTTAGTTTTGTCCATTTCATCATCTGCGTATTCAATAAACAATGTCTTCATGACTATCTATGATGTGCCTAAGTTACATATTATTTACTATTTCTCTCATCCATTCTTCCCAATTTGATCGAAGGTAATGCTTTTCTTTGAACACCAAACGGGTTCCTTCAAATGCAGAGATGTTGATTGAATTTCTCATTTTTTCCTTAATATTTATCATTGCCCCATCCATCTAGAATAGGAATATTGATGCCTTTGTGAAATCATTGGCTTGCGTCATACGACTTCCTTTGTTCATTTTATTTTGGAATGGGTATAAACATGACATATTATGTTTGGTATGTGTATATGACGAACAAACCAACCACTAATAGCATGTTCGGTTCTGTCCCCAGATAGTGGTTTGTGCAAAAGCTCCAACCTCTTAGAACGAAGAACGTAGTAGCAAGCTTTTCCACAAACCATGGTGTGGGGATTTTCAAAGCCTAACTGAAAGATGTTATTATTGGAAATAAAGAAAAAATAGACAGGGAATTCTGAAGTTCTTATGCTTACGGGTATATGTATGTGCGTATTAATGATTTCTACCGAAGGGTATTGCTAGTAATGTCACAGCCACACAGGTATCATAATGGATTTTAGGAAATTTTTTTGTTTTGTAGAACTGGACTACTGGAATATTCTACCGAATCTAAAACATGTTTATTGTTACCTCTATAATATTCTTGAATATTGATGGAATTTATCTCTTATTCCTTCTTAGATCAAACCTTGTCCCATCCTTTCACCTTAACTTCTCTATCAAAAGTCTTTTAGAATTTGGTCATTGTTGTTTCTTTTGTTTCCAACTGTTTTGTGACAAAATTATTGATTAAGTTGGTGAACTTAGCCACTGCTTTCAGAAAAACTTCTCTTTATTTGCCACTTAGTTGTCTTGCAAGAATACAGGGCCATCTGCTTGGTTTGAATTAGAGTAATAAAGCTTTCATATGGTAGAATTTCTTAACTGTTTATATTGTGTAGGCATGTAGAACAGACTTTGAGTAGATACCCTAGGAAAATTGCAGTTCAGTGCTCCAGTTTGGAATTATTATATTAGGCTAAAATAGCAAATATTATTTCTTCTGATTAAATTATTTTATAACTAACTTCTGCTTTCCAGTAGGTTGTCCTTGATAAAGAGAAACAGGTTGCCACAGTGGACAGAGAGGTTGATGATGGTATAGAAACTGTGTGTTTGAACTTACCAGCAGTAATAACGTGAGTATCGCATTCTTTTATGTATAAAAAGAATGCTGTATCCACCCTCTATATTTTTACAAAGCTTTGCGTTTTTGTACTTGTACTCACATGGTTATATCTTTATCACATGGTGGTGACCTCTAAGATCCATTTAATTTTCCATTTTCTTTTTTATTTCTTTCACAACTAAAGTTCAATTTAACCAATTGGACCCTGAAGCAACCTATAATCTTTTCTAAACTAACTTCTCCCTAAACTGGTGAGCAAATATTTCTCTTTGACTAATATTGCTGGTTTGGTGGCATGCGATTGAAAAGAAGGAATATCATGTTAAATGTAATGTGGTGCTAGATTGTAGTTTTCGTTTTATTTTCTGTATTGTTTTAGCATGGCCGTGTTTAAAACACAAGTGTGGTAGCATCTGTTTCTTTAATGCTACGTTTCCTCATTTTCTTTCTTTTTGGTTTTATAGTTATTTGAGATTGAAATAGATAATACTTTTGAAACTGAGTGTAAAGCTTGAGTAAAATTGCACTCAGCCTTGAGAATTTATATACATGAATGATTACAAACTTAATAAATACAAAACAAAATTGTTTAGAAAAAGAATTAATTATAATGCTACTTCCTAATTTACAATGTTATCTAGGTTACTTCGGTTAGTAGAACCATTATTATTATGTAATTGCCAACGTAGTTATTCTTTATTCTGCTTTCCACAAAATTGTCGCCGAGTATGAAATATGGTACCCTTTACCAAATTTCTGAATGCAAACATGAATTGTTTCTTGTTTAACATTGCAAACCCACACTGTGTCATCTTCAGATTTTGATCTATTCATAACTATTCTTGAAATTTCTGGGATGCTCATTTTTATTATGATTCAACATTCAACTATATCTAGTTTCTTGATTGTTCTTACAAGATTATCTTTTATCAAGCAACCATGCTGAAAGCATAAGGATGGTGAAAGTTTTCTGAATTTTCAGGGTGGTATCAGCTCCTTGCACCCTTTTGACGTATGAGCAATAAATTGAACTAGAAGTGCACAATAATATAATTCATTTTGTGCCTTAATTTATTTTAGCAACATACTGTGTACGCATTACTATAATACACAATAGAAACGCTGGCACTAATGTCTCATTTGAGATTCTGGTACTGATTTTTCAGAGAAATGTCGCGGGGATGTTTCTTTTTTATTAAACCAATGCGTTGGAACTTATGTGATCACAAAAGTAACCATGTTACCTATACACTTCAGTTGAAGTGATTCAAATGAGCAGTGACATAAGAATCCATTTGCATTTCCAAATATGGGTTACATATTTTGAAGTTTGATGATGTGTTTCATGAATACTGGGGTCACTTGATATAAATCTTGATGTGGATAGTGGCACTTATTGTTGCACTAACATATGGATGACTTGGTCACATTCTGTGAGTAATCGGTGATTTAACCGGTGTTTTTTTCTCCTACTTTTTAAACCCTTTCTTGATATGTGAATTTTGACCTTTTTATCTTGCAGCACTGATCTGAGACTGAATCAACCAAGGTATGCTACTCTTCCCAACATAATGAAAGCAAAGTCGAAACCAATTAAAAAATTCACTCCGGAGGAGTTGAATGTGGAAATCATATCTGATTTGGAGATAGTTCAAGTCACAGAACCTCCCAAGAGAAAAGCAGGGGTTATTGTTTCTTCTGTGGATGAGCTGATTGACAAACTAAAAAATGAGGCTAATGTTATTTGATTATTCTCTACTTTATCCTGAATTACATCTCAAGAAAAGATGAATAATACTGTTCCGACATTCTTAAATTTGATCAAATAACACAATAAATTAAATACTGTTCCTATTTACTTGTATTTGTCGTAAATCCTACATTTTAAGTTTGAGACGGCCATTTCACGCTAACATTTGTCGTATTTTCCTTAATACAATTGCATCCTGACTCAAACCCGAGACATTTCTTTAGTTAATATGCACAGATAACGAACATAGAAAAGTATATTAACAAAGGGTTAATGGAAAACATTGAAAGGTATGCTGCTGACAAGGTTTTTGTTGGAAAGCCCCAAATTTAGCTTAAAAGAGTTGGTTTTGTACAAAACTGCTTAGCCAGAACCCAGAACATGATTAAAATTCTCCATGACTTTGATGTTTTCTTCCCTTCGTACATGGACGTGCACTTCTTCCTTTCCTGCTAATCGTTAGGACAATATGTCTGTATTTTGTAGGATAATGTCTGTATTTTTGTAGACATGAGGACTTATATTAATAAATATAGGGCAGTCTGGGGGCATGTTAAAATATTCTTCATGATCTCTAGAGTTATCTTTATTTCATTGCTTTTTAATTTTGTAAAAAGAATTCAAAATTTCGAGACATACCTTCCCAAATAAAGTTTCTCTCCAAGGACAAAGTAGGCTACAAATGCCACTATTATAATAGAAAGAGGGTTAAACATTGTGACAAAACCTAGCCCTTTTTTCTCAGTGCACCATAGTAGAACATACAATATCAAACCAGCAACGACAATTCCCTGCCATTAATATTTGACGTAATTAGAACTCTAGATTTCGTCCATAATTTGTTGCAAAAAGTTTTGTACGCTTTATCAGCTGCTTGTCTATAGTTACACCGTATGATCAATGTTGAGCCCAATACTCCATGCTGAACGGTCGTGTTCTCCTATTACTGTGAAAACAGCGGATTGTGTTGCTCCAACAAAGCCCATCCACGTGGCGAGTGACAATTGGGCAGGGTATCTTTTCAAAGTGGATGCCTGAATTTTCACAATCACATGACATAAGAAATGTAACAATTTCTAATTAGAAGCAAGAACATAATAAGAATAGAAACCAAGACACTTCTTAAACTATGTATGTTTATATTGAAGCTTGCTCTTTCTTTATACATGGCGTAAAAATGCACGCATAAAACTTTTGATACTTATGACCGAGTTAAGGTGAACACCTGCATGATGTACCACATAGACCATGTGACAGCTTGAAACTGTAAGAACTGAACCTTTTAACCAACTTTCATTGATAGCAGCACTTGTTCCTGAAATATGGATTAGAGGACACCACAAATTTCTCATTATGAATCCTTTGTATAGTGTCATGGTCAAAGCACCAGCTAGGGAGATTAAGATCCCTAAAACTTTAGCTATCCCCCCAGGATTTTGAATATCAAGAACGTCAAACCTGCGTTTAACTCAACTGACTTGGTGATTAAATAAAAATTGTAAATATTATAATGGCTTGGGTTTAAGAACTTCAAAATCATGGAGAAAAATAATTAAACAAACCTGAGTACCACTGCAAGAATGAAGGTAAGGGTAGGTATGGTGTTTGAGCATTGCAACAACAAAGGTCGGATTTGTGTATTTCAGGCTTGCAAAGTGCAGATTAATGGTTAAACTAATCCTGAAATTTTTGAAGTTAGACAACAAATGAAGTTTCACACTTCCCTATGGAATATGTGTAAACTGTAGAAGCATGCATAGTACTTACCCTAACAGAGCAATCACACAAATTTCTATAAAAAGAGCAAATGTTAGCTTTGGTCTTGCTTTTCTGCAAGAATACAAAAACTGTCAGATACATGATAAAGTTCTAGATCACACCAAATTCAATGGTTAAAACAAACAAATTGAAATGGGCCTGGAATGTAAATACTAGACATTAAAAATGCAATTAGAGATGGATTACACTCGCATTAAAACATTCTTTAAGGCATCCACGCATCAAATTAAGCATTTGCATGGCACAGATTAGAGAGTCATGCTAATGCAGACCACCAACTCTTAGCATGACTCTCTAATCTGTGCCATGACAATTTGTGCCATGACTCTCTAAAGAGAAATGGAAATGTACCTCTCCAAAAAGTAAGCAAAAGGGAACATGACAATTGCACCCACAATATGCAGATAGGTTACAACACATAAAGGGTTCATTCATCCCATGAAGCTTTTGTGATGAAATACAAGAGGCTATAGCCCACCTGGACTAAGAACATGACCAGGTGGGGATATATATATGTATATGGATTACATTACATAAACCTGGATAAAACAATTTGTTAATTAAATTAGAGACAACGATATTTACACATTATATATGTATTAATTATGTTAAAAAATTATTTTTGTTAAATTAATTTCTGAATTACAATTTAATTTTCATTATCAAGATTTCAGTTATTTAATTAATTATTAAACTTTAAATTTAAACTATCAAATTAGAATCTAAATTCTGATTAGTAGTTAAAATTTTAGTATGTAATGATTAGATTTCAATTTAAATTTTAATTAAAATATAAATTAGTTAAAATAATTTTTAACTTAATTAATATAATGATTAAATATTGTTTTCTCTAAATAATTTAATTTTTAATAATTCTTTTAATGATTTTTTTATTGCGTATTTGCTTATGTATTGCTAGGCTGTAATGTAAACGTGCGTAATAAATGAAAAGAAAATTCAAGCCTTATGATGCGTAAAACTTTTCATACATACAAAAGTACTCTGACACTCATCCATAATAGATATGAATATTTTATTATTATGGTATTCTTAGTAATAAATATTCATGTTAATAAATTATATTTATTTTTTATACTTAAATTATTAAAATAAAGTTATATAGAATTTATATATTTTATTTAAATTTATGGAATTATCATTATTTTTAAAGAAATTGATATTATTTAAATTTATATGTAATAATCTAATTTGTTTGACTTAATATTTAAAAAAATATTTTTATTTGTCCTAATATTTTTTGATATAGCTTTATTTGAGTTATACTTTAAAATAAAAATATTATTAAAGTGTATAGTTTAAAGAATAGGTTTTAAATAATTTTATTTAAATAAAATAAAATAAAATAAAAAATATTCATAAGTATCTACAAATATAAAAAAATTTGCACTTTTTTTTTGGAAAAAATAAATTGATAACCTCTCCTAAAAATATTCTTAACAATGTTTTATTAATATAATAATAATATTATTATTATGTTTTTTAAAAATTTTATAGATATTATTATTATTATTATTATAATATTATATATGAATTATAAGATAGATGTGTTTAAAATTTAGGTTATCAATCTATCATGTTTTTTTTAATCGAATAATCCACCGTTAATGAAGAGATAAAGTTTTCTTGATATTTTCACATAAGATAAACATATCTAATATACAATCTTATTTATTAATATTATATTTATAAAATAATTAATTTAAAATAAAAATAATTATTTTAGAATAAAAATAGGTGGATTTTAAATCTATATTTTTCCTTTCTTTTTGAGGAAAAATATTTTGACAATTCTAAATCATATAATTTTAAAAAAGCTCATTTTAAATATTATAATAATAATTTCAATTTATTTTTATTTTTATTAAATAATTTTATAATTATTATATTACTAAAAGTAGGTTGTTTATGGAATTTTCAAAATATCACTTCTCTTCTTTTTGACGGGGGCAGACCTGCTCGGTTGCCATTCCTCTTTGGAGCAAAGTGAAAGATACGTGAAAGCGGCTATAATCGACACGCTTTTTCACATCAATCCAATTTCCAAACATACGATGATACTTCAAACACAACAACGTGATTTTCAAAAAAATACTTCAGATGATTGGTTTACACACAAATGTTTGGCCAGAGAAACTTAGAAAGCTATCTTCATGACTTATATGTTCTGTTCTGTTCCCACTTCCACTCATTTCTTCATTTCCAGTTAAATGGAATACATTCAAAATTCTGGGTCCGCAGAACTGTTCTGTGATTTATCTGTCGTCGTCATGCAAGCCTCTTGGTCACCTTCTTTGCCCCACAACAGCAAGTACAGACCAATTATGACAATAAATGAACCTATGATGCTGAAGAGTCATCAGAAGCAAATTTCAAAATTGTGTTAGTTAATTTCTCATTCCTGGAATACTGCTTGTTAAACGTTAGGTTAATGTTACATGCTTTAAATCATGGATAACGTAATCAACATCCTTGCATGCTAATAACTGTATATGTGATGCTGGTAATATTAAAATGACACTCTCATTTAAAAGCTGCGTTAATGTTCCTTACCACCATGACACATAATCACATTCTCTTATTAAGAGAAAAAAATTGTCAATTAGCTACACATTCCCTATTTTAATTTTGAAAAAAAAAAAATCATGTTAAAGCTAGCTTTATCAGTATTGCATTCCTTTTTAATTTTGTGAAGAAAAGAAAATTCAAATTATGAGGCATCCGTTACTACCTGCCCAGATAAAGTTTCTCTCCAAGGACAAAGTAGGCTAGAATTGCCACCAATATAGTAGAAAGAGGGCTAAACATTGTGACAAAAACTGGCCCTTTTTTGTCAGTGCACCATAGTTGAATGTAGATTATCAAACCAGCAACGACAACTCCCTGCCAATAATGATTGATATCGTTAAAAGTATGAATTTTATACTTCCTGCGTTTTTTGGAAGAATGATTTTATACACTTTAACAGCTTATTATATTATACTGACACCATATATTGTGGACCAAAAGTCAATGTTTAGCCCCATAGTCCATGCTGAAGAGTCGCGTTCTACTATAACTGTAAAAACAGCTGATTGTGCTGCTCCAACAAAGCACATCCACGAGGTGAGTGAGAGTTGAGCAGGGTATCTTTTCAAAGTGGATGCCTGAATTTCCTCAAAAACATGATACAATTCAGAAATGTAACAATTTCAACTTTGAAGCAAGAGCAGCAATAAGAATAAGAAAGTAGAAACAAAACCACTAGCTATTTAAACTGTGTTTTTATATGTAAGCCAGCTCTTTCTTTATGCATGGCGTGAAAAACGAATACATAAAACTTCTGATATTGTGACTGAGTTAAGGTGAAAACCTGCATAATGTACCATAAAGACCATGTGACACAACTTGAAACTGTAAGAATTGAACCCTTTGACCAGTCTTCGGTGATAGCAGCACTTTTCCGTGGAATATGGATTAGAGGATGCCATAAATTTCTCATGACGGGTCCTTTGTACAGTGTCATAATCAAAACACCAGCTAAGGAGATCATAGTCCCAATTACTTTTGCAATACCACGAGGATTTCGAACATCAACAACCTCGAATCTACATTCAAATCAACTCTTTAAGGATAAAAATAATATATATATATATATAATATATCAATATTATAAGGGCTTTGTTTAACAATTCTAAATTCACGTGGATGAAGAATTAAGCAAACCTGATTGCCACTGCAATAATGAAGGTAAGGGAAGCTATGGTGTTGACCATGGAAGCAACGAAGGTCGGATTTGTGTAGTTCAGGCTTGCGAAGTACATATTAAGGGTCACACTAACCCTGCAAATTTTCAAGTTAGGCAAATCAAGTTTCCACACTTCCCCATGGTTAGAATATTAGAAGCATGCATGGTCCTTACCCTAGCAGAGAAAGCACACAAATTTCCATAAGAAGAGCAAACGTCAGCTTTGGTCTAACATCTCTGCAAGAAAACATATATAGTCACTTTCATATATAATAAAAGTAATAAGATGATACCAAATTCAATTGTTAGAATAAACTGAACTTGATCAGAAATGCAAATGCCAAATTTGATTCTTAAAAGTGCAATCAGCGATGGATAAAACAAGCATCGATGCACTGTTCAAAGCTTCCATGAATCAAGTCAAGCATAATCATGCAAGTACGCAGATCAACACTAGAAGTGTACATGTACCTCTCCAGAAAGTATGCAAAAGGGAGCGTCACAACCGAAGCCACAATATGCCGATAGGTTACATACACATAAGGACTCATCCCATGGTTGAAGGAGGCTTCAGTGATGAAATATAAGAAGGTATAGCCCACCTGGACTAAGACCATGAACAGGTGTGGCTTTAACTCTCTGTATACAAGCACATGAGAAGCTCTTTTCTGTTGTTCCATGACTTTAGTCATTAGCGAGTGATTACAATTCATGTGATTCACAAGCTCTCAAGAAGTTCAACACATACAAAATAGTTGATGGGCTAGTTGAATGTGATTCTCATTCCATTTTATTAGGCATCATGTTCTTTATTAAATTCCCTACTCAAAATGCCTGACTAGACTATGACATCTGAATCGACATTTATTGTCATGTGATATCTTTATGATGACGATGAAGCATTCATAGTCACATTTAATGGTTTGTGTGGACTTATGAAATTAGTGTATACAGTAAGAATTATCATTTTAAAAAATAATCAAATGATCCACAGCTGTTGAGATGTTTTATTAAACTTATTCAAGCACTTCAATTTCCACATATAATCATGCATTTTGTTATTTTAAGAAAATATAGCACTACTTTTGGTTTTCTTCTACCTAAAACGCATTCATCCAAAACGATTAACTTTTATTGAATGACCAGTGCTAAGCACTCAATCGTAATAGTTCACAGCATGAATGGAGATCCTCATATAATAATCATTTATCTTTCATCTTTTTTAATGGAGGACATTCTCTTTAATTGTTTTATTGAATACACTGTGCTGTGGACTGAATCTACATGTGATAAGATAAGACTGATTGTTACTAAATTATTTTTTATACTTTTTCTTTTCTTGAATGATTGGATTCTGTGTTTTGTTATTACTAAGTGATGTGATGCAGAGTGTAAGTTCTTTTGATTTATATAACAGAATACACTAATAAAACTTGAGCTCAACCCATATAAAAAGATTAATATTACTTTTAAAATTTTAAGAATTAGATTATGTGTCATAATTGTTCAATTTTCTCATTCTTACTTAATGTAGAACTTAACTTACTTAGATTATTCAATATAAGCTATACAATAATTAGTCGGTTAATTTTAATTTTAACTTATTAGTTGCTATTAAAACTTAGTTATAACAAAGGGTAGCGAAAATGAAGTTCTACATATCTTGGCCTACAACCTATCTAATTCATGTTCTCACCTTTTAGAGAGAGAGGCTGATTTTATTTCACCTTCTAATTCTTCTTATAACTTTAAACTAGGTATTTTTATAGATTAAAGAAAGTGTCATTTTAAGAGGGCCTAAAAGAAGATTAGTGTATTTTTTTTTCTAATTACTACTAGGCTTATTTAGGTTTATATAGGTCTAGATTTTTGTTTATAATAAGCTTGATCATAAGAAAATTAAATAAACTTATAAGGTTAGGTTAGACATTTGAAAAGGCCTAACATGAGTAACTATGCTAGATTCAAAATTTATCTTTCTAAAATAAATGCGAATGCATTTTTACTCAACTTACATGTCACTAATATATAATTTTGACATCATACTTTCAAATTTTTTTCTTTCTCACCTGACATAAAAGTACAAAAGAGATTGATTGATTCAAAGAGTAATGTTAGATAGTAATTTAACAATTATGTTTAAATGATTGGTTCTATTAGTTAATTTTCAATAGTATTTCAACAATCGTATAATTTATTTCTTACATTAAATATAATTACATTTAGTGTACCTCTTTCTTTTAATATTTTCTTGGGAAGCATGTTTGCCTCATGTTGAGTTTGCTTATCATAAGATTGTCCACAACACGACAAATTGTTCACCTTTTGAAATTGTGTATAGATTTAATCCTTTAACTCCTATTGATTTATTGTCTATGCCTAACATTTCTATATTTAAGCATCAAGAAGCACATACTAAAGATGAATATGTAAAGAAGTTGCATAAGTAAGTCAAGACTCAAATTGAAAAGAAGAATTAATTATGCTAGGCAAGCTAACAAAGGAAGGAAGAAGGTATTAAATAGGCGTTATTTAGTCACCAAGTTGGAGCACTACCTTCTTCCTTCCTTTATTAGCTTGCCTAGCATAATTAATTCTTCTTTTCAATTTGAGTCTTGACTTACTTATGCAACTTCTTTACATATTCATCTTTAGTATGTGCTTCTTGATGCTTAAATATAGAAATGTTAGGCATAGACAATAAATCAATAGGAGTTAAAGGATTAAATCCATACACAATTTCAAAAGGTGAACAATTTGTCGTGTTGTGGACAATCTTATGATAAGCAAACTCAACATGAGGCAAACATGCTTCCCAAGACTTAATACTTTTCTTTAAAATAATCTTGAGCAATGTGCCTAAAGTCCTATTAACTACCTCAGTTTGTAGGTGACAAGTAGTAAAAAGAACAATTTAGTATCAATCTTACTCCACAATATCCTCCAAAAGTGACTTGAAAATTTTGCATCCCTGTCACTTACAATGCTCCTAGGCAGCCCATGAAACGTCACTATCTCCTTGAAAAACATGTCATCCTTTGAAGTTTGAGTTGTAAATTCCTATTATAACTTGCTGGAACACATCTCTTTCTCATAATTTTTTTTTTCAATTTCAATCCAAGATTCCACCATGGGTTCTTCATTTCTAACTCTCTTCCTTTGGTACTTGTTCACCTAATTAAGGCATAATCTGGAAATTCAACTGCTGCCAATTTCATTTTTTGTTCTTCATTGTACTCATTGCAAGAAAACATATGTTCTAATTTTAGCTCCCACTCCAAGTAAGCCTTAGGACCACTTCTTCCTTTGAATATTGGGATATTTAACTTAATTGGATCAACTCTAGATTGTCTTTGTTCTCCCTCATTCTCCTTTCTTCTTCTCCTATCTGTTCTTTTATTTTCATTATTGTCTTGTTGTGCTTACTCCATTTGATCCAATCTCTCATTAAGTCCATCACTTTATTGTTTCATTAGTCTCTCCAAATTTTGAGTCAAGGCTTGCATTTACATTTGTGAAATTCTAGTATTTGGTATTTCCCTGACCATGTTTCAACAAATATATTAGAAATAATAATAAGTTTATCCTCACAATACTTTCTCATGTGTATATACTCCATGTTCATATTTCGCTTAATACGACTCTTTTATCAATGGTCATACTGTCTTTTACCACTCATTCTCTACTTGAGATTTTTACAAGAATCAAACAATCTACTATCAATATTCACTCTTAAGACTTGTAATGACAATACTAAAAAAAATTAATAAATAAAAAATTTTAGTATCCACAAAAGAGAAGTAGCAAAGAACAATTTTGTTACTACGAAACAAGTAAGACTGTACAAATTTAAAGAAGATACTTGAAATAAGAATTTTAGCAAACAATTAATATGCAATGAATATAAAAATTAGTAACTCTTTTTTTTCAAACTTCTTTCTTTCTCTTCTTCTTTTTTTCTCTTTTTTTTGAACAATATTGTGAATAGTGCATAACAATCTCGTGAATAATGATGAATAGTGTAGAACAATATGTGAACAGTGTGGAATAGTACATGAATAGTGCAGAACACCACTGTAAACAGTAATAGTGACAAAAATAGTAAAAAGTATATGCAATGAAACCTTGCTCTGAATACCAAATGATAAGATTTCAAATAGAATTAACATAAAAAGATTTAGGGTTTGAAATCAATTAAGAACAAAAAATTAGGAATTGAGAACAAAATAGAAAACTCGAATAAATGAAGCACCACAAACAAAGTTTGATAAACCTAACGATGATTGCCACAAGAATTGGTGAATTTTTGATAAGATTAAAGATGTAAGGAAGAACCCTAACAAAAAAGTATTCTCACTTTGGCAAAAATCATTTGTTGCCTTTTTTCTCAATTCAACAATCATAAATACAAAAATTTAAGATTTTCTTCGGCTTGACTTTGTTTATAATAAAAGGAAAAGAAAACCAAAAAAATTAAAACTAATTAAATATTAAACTAATGGTTTTGAGTTCAAATCCTAGCTCCACAAAAAAAATATTTTTATTTTAATTGTCCAAGGCTACTACACATGTAACCTACTTAGCCTCCTCAGTTTCTTAGGTCTTTGACTGTTGGACCTCCCATAAAAGAGTCATCTTCTACTATAAAACTTCTCGAGCCTTTCTAATCCTTCCTCTAGTCATTGGTCCAATTAAGCATTCAATTAGATCTTCATCTTTTTTTTTTCATGGGCCTTGAACTTTTATGTCCACATTAGATATACTCAAAATAGAAGGAGATGATGTATTAATTATTTGCTTATATGTTGATGATTTGTTTATTACAGACTGTAAAATTACTTTGATTGATAATTTTAAAACAAGGATGCAAGATCAATTTGAGATGACCGATATATGGAAGCTTTCATATTTTCTTGGATTCATCGAAGGAAAAAAATGTGTTTTGATTCACCAAAGTAAATATGCTAAAGAAGTGCTCCAGAAATTAAAATAAATGAGTGTATTGCGGTAATTACACCAGTCGAGTCTAATGTGAAACTTGACAAAGATGAAGATGAGAAGATTATAAATGTTACTATTTACATACAGATGGTTGACCATTTAAGATACTTATGTTGTAGTAGATCGAATATTTGTTTTGATATTGGGTTGCTGAGTAGATTTATGAAGACATCCAAAATATCTCATCTTGCAGCAACTAAGAGAGTTCTAAGGTATATTAAAGGGAAGATTGATTTTGGTATTTTATTATCAAATGCTACACATCAAAATGGAGAATAGTTTGTTGAATATTATGATTTTGACTAGGCTGGAGATAAAGTTGGTTTCAAAAGCACATCATGTTATGTATTCCTATTGAGAAAATCATTGATGGTGTTTGATATTACAACTTGTCATGACACTATTTTCTTGTGACGTTGAATACATAGTTGCTGTTGTTGGAAAATTAATAATAATAATAATAATAATATTCCTGATTTTGATTCTAACGATCAAACATAAACGTAATCTCATACTTGATAAACATGCTATAAATTGAATGCAAAAGCGTACCTGAATTAGCTATAATGATGATGTCTTTGTAGAGCACTATATTGATCTTATGGTCTTCCACCTGAAGAGCACCTGTATTTCCCTCTTGATTTTCTCTCTTGATGGGGATAGAAAGAAAGGAATAGGACTGATACTTACGTTCTGTGTGTGTGCTCCCAGA